CTGAGACCAATGAACAGAAGTGAATAAAAAATGGCGCTGCGAACTAATGTAACGTCGTATGGTGAGTTTTTGTTTGTATCGTGGAGCAAAAATATGTTCGAATTTCATGTTGTATCCTGAAAATTTCGTATGCTGGGGCGTTCGTATCCTGAGGTACCACTGTATAAATCTCACTTAAAACTTGTATCAAAGCAGAATGTAGGGATATGCTAAATTTTAAACAACTTCCTGTAAGCTAACTGTTGAATTTGATTTAAGCAAAGTAATAAGATTTTTAAAATAGCTCAAAAAATTACTTGAAAAATATAAATTTTTTCATAATTTTAAAATAACAGATTTTAACAGATATTTACTTGTAATCATATTTTCTTAATGAAATATAATTTTAAACAATTGTTAAAAATCATTTTTTATTTTATCAACTACATAAATTTGATGGTACAATAATTTAAAAGTTTTGTTGAAAGCTCTTTGTATTTACATTAATAAAAATTTCTGTCTAAAAGATAAGTTTAAAATTCTTTAACTCAACTCAATTAACTAATCAGTTTTCAGATTAAAACAATTGAATTTCTTAATTCTATTAATCAAAATAACAGTGCAACAAAATCTTATGCTTAATTCAAAATCAACTTTACCCCCAAAGTTAAGAATGAAAAATTATTTTTTGCTGGTACAAATGAACATTAATCTACCATTTTTTCACTCAAATTTTAAATAATTTTAGGCTTATAGTAAAAATTTGGTTTCCCTCATCTCACATTGCGTGTTGTGTTCCAATGCTATATGGCATTACATCATATCAGTTGCATAGCTTATGGAACAGCACAGCCTAAATGGATTATGATTTCAAATGAGAAATGTAAATTATGCAAAAGTAAGAAATAAGCAAAGTTTGCAAAACATAGGAAATGAAAAGTTTGAAGTGTGTAAAAAGTAAAAACAAATTTTGAATCTTTTGATTTAAAAATTTTAAAAAGGTAATTTGTTTTTAGAATATAGTTTTGGAATTAGATATTATTAACAAAGCATTTATATTATAAATGATCTGTTGTTTCCTGACAGTATGTAAATAAGTCCATTGTTTCAGTTTTTCACCTCGTGTACTGTTGAAATGATGTATTTGTTAGCTATTTTCAATTTGATTATAAATAAAGATGCTATCTTTTGTATTATGTAGTATAAGATTTTTTACTTTCTCAACTTTTTCAAAAATGATAATAAAACACGGTTATTTTGAGTGTTAACAGCCAAGATAGAGATGCAACAAAGTAATTTGTATGTGTGATTTTGATATATGGACTAATTCATGAAAGCTTAGATTGAAGGTTAATTATTTCTTTTCTTTTAGTTTTAACTTTTATAAGGTTTAGAGACTGTTATAATCTAAGATTTGCATGCAAATTTTATTTGCAAATTGTTGGATCAGCTAAGGATAGCAAATAGAATACAGTAGCGTCCCAAAAACTCAGCCTAATGTGGACGAAGGGTGGCCGAGTTTGTGAAAATACCAGGTCATCGGGAATGGGGTTAAAAAAAGAACAAGTACAAGTGTTTCCTCAGAAAATACTGTACTGTACTTGTATGTATTGTTTGCTTGAGAATAAAATAGAAAATAAACTGCCCAAATACCCTTAAACAAAGGAAAAGTACATACTTTATGAAGGCATAGAGCCTTTACTACATGAAAATGAAAATTAATTAATACACAGTGTACAGTAATTTACCTGAAAAGACAGACCACTGAAAAATACTTTATGAGACATAAAGCTGTCTATAATGAAAATTAACTAGCCAACTTTGCAAAAACGGGCTACTTTCTTTTAAAGAAATGCATAATGTCTTGTTGTCTTCCGCAATGCACTCTGTGTTTTACTGCTTCATCATGAACACGACAAAGGAACAGTAAGTCCATTACCAATGCACCTTCTTGTTCAAAATACTGAAGGGCAGTTTCGACAGCCTTAGTCCCTCACTATGTGATATTTTAGGAGCTTGTATGATGGAGTCCTCAATGTTAACATCTTCATCATTTTCTGGCAGTTTTTCATTAACTGTGATAGCAGCAATAATTTCTGCATCAGACATAATGTCTTGCTTGGCATCATTCTGAAACCACTGTTTGACGTCATTTTAATTGGCTTCTGCACATCCAGGAATTCATTTCAGGAGGTCGGGTAAGTTTACATTTTCTGCATCATCATGTTCAACGAACTCATTTCCCTCGTGATCAAGGAGTTTTTGCCAGGAATGAACTAGTGTTAACGACTCTAACTTGTTCCAGGCATCTGCCACCCAGCCAACAGCATCCAATAGGTTAATTTAAGTTCTGGATAAGACCTTGACCATCATCGTTTGCAGAAAGAAGGGAGGATAACAGCTTGTGCCTATATCTTCTCTTGAGACTAACCAAAACTCCTTGGTCCATTGGCTGGCATAACGCTGTGACATTGGGTGTAAAAACATTGCTCATATGCCCCATTTTTTAACTCTTCAATGTCTGGGTGTGAAGACACGTTGTCCAAAATCAGAATAGCCTTCCTTGGCAGGTTTTTAGATTTTAAAAACTGCTCAACTGATGGAACAAATACTTCATGGAATCATTCTTTGAAAATTGCACAGCTCATCCATGCATGTGATGGTTTCGGTACCAAACTGAAAGTTTATCTATGCTCGTTGGAGGCTATGGAGATTTATATAGAAACCATCAAAGGAAATTGCATTAACTCCGATTATATTCCAATTCCACAATTGTGGAAGTACTATTTACAGTGCCACAAAGCACAACTATAATTGTAGGTGTAATTATTTTACATCTTTCTGCTTTGCAAAAGAAAACAATTTCCACATCATTTATATCACGCTAATTTTTACAATGCTATAATAATTTATGTATAGCTTTATTTTAAAATAATTATTTTTATGTTGTAAACGTAATGATTTTTACATCGTAAGGTACATTGTTTAAATATTTAGAAATAGTAATTTATGTATAGCTTTATTTTAAAATAATTATTTTGATGTTGTAAACATAAATTTTATATCGTACGATACATTGTTTAAATATTTAAAAATTTGGAACACGGCTGTATTCGAACCTTTAAAATGATAGAACTGTTTTTTCTGTGTTTCATCCTGAAGAGGGCCTCTAAAAGACGGCCGAAAACGTTTGAGCATTAAAATTTTCTGTTCATTCAGTGCTGGAATTAACATTTAGGTGTTAATTGTTGTGTTTATTACATATATAAGTTCCAGTTTACTTGTGCTATAATAGTTTTTGTCTGAAAGTTTATCCATTTCAATATGCTCAAATGCACATAGTTTCTTTGATTTTCCTATGAGACCAAGCTTTAATTTGTGCTCACCTGTTGCATTACTGCATGCTAGGATTGTTACCTTCTCCTTGCTCCTTTTAAAACCTGGGGCTGACTGTTCTTCCTTGAAAGCAAGACTTTTTGCTGGTAACAGTTTATAATTTAACTCTGTTTCATCACAATTGTACAATTGCTCTCCAGTCAACCCGTCAGCTTCGATAAATTTCTGAAAGTTTTCCTTAAATTGAGACATACCCTCTGTGCCCCCAGATAGTTTTCCCCCACAAATAATAAGCTGCCAGACTCCATAGCATTTCTTTCAGCGATCAAGCCAGCCAGTGCTTGCGACAAATTTAGGATTGTTGTCTTTTTTAAATTCTTCAAAAAATTTCAAGGCTTTCTCTTGCAAGATTGGCCCACTAATTGGCATGCCCTTCTCTCATTTGGTGAAACCAAATGTAAAGTGCTTCACTTACCTCATTAAAGTCATTTTCCTTCATACTTTTCCTTTCTTTCAATGTTTCTGTACACATTCTGTTAACACACAATGACTCGATTTCCATCTGTTTCTTCTTTCAGTCTCCAATCATACTTTTGCCGACACCCAAGTCCTTAGCCACTGCACTGACACTTTCTCCCTTATCCAGTCTCTTTAATGCCCGCAACTTTTGCTCCATAGACAAGTTCATTTGTTTTCTTTTAATGGAAGATACCATTGCAGAGTAGTATCCAGCACCCACAAACTTTGAAGCAGCTCTGAACAATACAGTATGCACAGTCACTCACATCGAGCTGTGCAACAGGGTTAAGAAATCAACTAACCCTGGCAAAGGCTGTGGGTAGACTGAACAGCTGAGCACACACCGGCACCAGACACGTGGTGGAGTAGGGGCAGTGTGACGTGTGACAAAGGAATGCGAGACCTTGAACAGGTCTGCATGCAGTGTTTTTTCGCCCTGCCAGGGTGTGGCCGAGTTATCCAGACTGCCGGATTATCAAGTGCCGAGTTTTCAGGACTCTACTGTACCATGAAATTGTCATTTGAATAGTATTAATTAAATGTTTTATGTAACAAACTAACAAAAAGTATAATTTAAAAATTTTTAGAATAGTTACTTTGGTTAATTTCATATTAAAGTTTGTCTTTAGATTCTTGAATAGAATGCTTTAATGAAGTGGTTTCCAAAGTGTGTGCTGTGGCTCCCTCACAGGGACACCATGAAATGTTATAAAATTTTTATAATTTTACTTAATTTTAAAAATATTGGCTATTTTGAAAATTGTACTTGTTATAATTTGACATGGGCACCTTGAAAAAATCTGGATTTAGCAAGAGCACTGAAAATCAAATAAGTTTGAAAACCACTGCTTTAATGTAAGGAAAGTAACAAAAAAAAAAGGCAATTAATTGTAACATTTTAACCAATGGTTATATCAAATAAATTTTGCTTTTGAATTTTTGAGTAGCGAGCTTTCTTGACCTTGCTACAAATCAACACTATGCAATGCAGCACAATCTAGGAACATGCAATGTGACACAAGAAAGAATAATATAAAATACCAAAATTTGTTCTAAAAAATCTAAATAAAAATAAGTTTTGAAAACACACTATTATAGAAATGTATAATAAAAGTTTTTTTATTAAAAATTATGAAATAAAAATAATTAACTTTAGTGATACTTACCTGATATATATTATTCTACCATCTGATATGATTCTTCTCCAACCAAATGGAACTGTAATAGATGATGTATCACCATCTTTTGGAACATTTCCTAATTGATGAAGTGGTTCTTCAGATTTTTTTGGTTGGCAAATGCTTACAGCATTACACCCATCTTTAGCATTTAATGAAACATTTTCCACTTGAGATTCATTATTAGGACTAACATCTGTACAATTCACTGATGAACAGCAATTATTTATAGCTTTGTCATCTTTAACACCTGCATGAATGATAGATGACATTGCTTTCAAACCTAATGTATCTTTTTTTCTGCAAACTGTTTCATTAACTGAAGATGTACTTTCAGCTGGGCTCATGTTGTCAGAGCTTTTTGTTCCCAATATTCCTATTGGATCTTCTTGCAAGCAGAATGCTTGAAATGGCTGGTTTGAAGGGATGGAGTTTGGTATGGCCTCCTGGCTAAATGCTGCCATGTCAACTTTTGTTAAATCTATTCAGCATGCTGTGCTCTGTGGTTGCAAAATGCCCACAAAGAGCTTGCTTGTTAACAGTCAGGAGACAATATATATTAAATATTAGATTTTACATAATTATGAAAATTGTGCACTGGATAATCACAGATTTCATTGTTGGAAAATGCTTTCTATATGTAGATGTAGACAGAACAGAACACCTTCATGTGAACTCATTTCCCTCGTGATCAAGGAGTTTTTGCCAGGAATGAACTAGTGTTAACGACTCTAACTTGTTCCAGGCATCTGCCACCCAGCCAACAGCATCCAATAGGTTAATTTAAGTTCTGGATAAGACCTTGACCATCATCGTTTGCAGAAAGAAGGGAGGATAACAGCTTGTGCCTATATCTTCTCTTGAGACTAACCAAAACTCCTTGGTCCATTGGCTGGCATAACGCTGTGACATTGGGTGTAAAAACATTGCTCATATGCCCCATTTTTTAACTCTTCAATGTCTGGGTGTGAAGACACGTTGTCCAAAATCAGAATAGCCTTCCTTGGCAGGTTTTTAGATTTTAAAAACTGCTCAACTGATGGAACAAATACTTCATGGAATCATTCTTTGAAAATTGCACAGCTCATCCATGNAATTTCAAGATAAACATGTTTGAGATAGATAGGTAATACAATATCAATTCATTTCAAATACACTGATTAATAGATTTATTGGTCAGGATATTATCAAGATATACAATTTATCAGCTGAGACCAATGATTCCCAACTAATATTCTATAGCACACTGTAATCCTTCCACAATTGTTCCACAAAAATTTGAAGGCATTTGCTAGAAAATTACAAATGTCTATTTTTTTAAATTTTAAAAATTATTTTATCATTTAAAATATATTGTATTTCTTTACTAATACAATCATTCACAAGACCAGTTTAATTATCAAATTGTTTAGTATGTAATGGGTATAAAAATTGGAATCTTTTAAAATAAAAATGTATTTTATATACAGTTAGTTCCTGACATATGAACATCCACTTAGTATATTAAAAAACTTTTTTGAGTCTAAACAATTATTGGCACTTATTAATGTCCCAGTATATACAACATTAAATGTTAAATACAACAATATCAATAAACATGTTTTATATAACAACAGCAATTATTTATCGAGATATCACAATGCCAGGCTGCAATTTTTAATTTATTTAATTTAAAATATATGTTCTCTACCTCAAATCAGTAGTGTCTTGCCTCTGTGCACCACACTTTCCTGTTAGCAACAGTCGTGCTAGTCATCAAACCCCCTTCAGGGAAAAATTTTTGAATTGTAATAACATGACTTCTAGTTTGCCTCATTCATATATAGTTAATCAGAGCCTCATGTCCCTAATCTTTCCATATCGGATCCTGGCTTTCATCTATCTAACTTCTTGAAATTAGGGAAAGACAGACAGGCAGACAGTGGGAATTTATAAGTCTACAATTTTTTCAAATTGCAGCCCAGAAACTTTTTATATTATTAATTATTATAAAATGGCAAAATGCTTATTTTTGAGGGTAGGGATGACATTTATAAAAAATTGTAAGTACTAATAATATGTAAAATCTTCATTTAAGTCCAACCCCTCAAGATACAATACATGACCTCCCTCTATCTTTCCACCACCTCAAACTTTAACAGCATCAATGGCACTTATTTACAAGCTACCATACCAAATTTTATTTCTTAATCTTTGAGATATTAAATGAAATAGATGTCAACTCAAACATATACACAATTTTTTTCTGTGTTTTTTGGATATTTTTGGGTTCAGGGAGTCTCAAAACATGGAGATTTGCAAAAAACCTAAAGTGTCAAATATGACAATTCCAATACTTTCCCTTGTTACGATACATAATAACTGGGAAAGTAAAAATCTAAAATCAATAAAAAACTCATTAAACTCTTTTTTTCTAGTTTACAAATTCGTTAATTCAGTTCATGACAATATTATACATAAATTTAAGTAATAAATAATATAAAGATTTTTATGTTTTGCATAAACCACATTAGACAAACTGTATTATAAAAAAACAGCAGCATAATACTGGATATACAAAAAACTACCCAGAAAGTCAACCAAATTCCAGAAATTAAACATTTTCACAAATGTTTTCATCTATCTTCCAGTAGACATCCTCATGTGGAATATTACGATTCTACAAGAAAATTCAACATTTAGAATCACACATGTTGCGTAGTAGATATGATGCCTGGGCTATTGGAGGATACATATTACGTCATAAAATTTATGTCAGATGGAACATCATCAGCTAGATGTTGATGTACATAAAACTTCCAGTTGAGAGGAACGACTCCACATACTTGTGGTTGATGGCACATTTCCTTACAGAAGTCTTGTAGATCTCACACTTCTCCAGGTGCTGGATAGATGAAAAAAGGATGCTTTTACAACACCTGGAGAAGTATGAGATCTACAAGACTTCTGTAAGGAATTGTGCCATCAACCACAAGGATGTGGAGTCGTTCCTCTCAACTGGAAGTTTTATGTTCATCAACATCTAGCTGATGATGTTCTATCTGACATAAATTCTATGATCTAATATGTATCCACCAATAGCTAGGCACCACATCTACTATGCAGCATGCTTGATTCTAAATGTTGAATTTTCTCATAGAATAGTAATATTCCACATGAGAATGTCTATTGGAAGGTAGATGAAAACATTCATGCAACTGTTAAAATTGCTGTCTTTTGGTTGACTTTCTGAGTAGTTTTTCTGTATTATAAATTTATGTAAAAATCTAGAGAGAAATTGACAATGCAAATTTTTTCTTCCATTAATTTTGTCTTCGCAAAAGTTTGTACAGAATACAAAACCTTTTAAAAGCTGGAATTTCTTAGATAAAATTATATAAAAAATACAAAAACTGGAAAAGTACAAAAGATGTATTTGTGTGACTTTTTGTACAGAATATTCAAGAAAAATTAAAACTTTATCTTCAAAATAGATAAAGTTCAATACTATATTTCAGTGTAAAGTCAAAATATCTGCTTATTAAGGATAAGCTAAAAATTCCTTAATATAGAAATATTTTCAGCTTTTTCTAGGACACCATCAGCTACCAATAAACAGAATATACAGTTGAACCTGTCTATCTCAAATCTCACAAGAATGAGAAAAAAATTTGAGATAGGTTTTGAGATATAGAAGTTCCTAACAAAGTACAAAGTAAACAGGTTGGTATTTTATTAATATAATATGTATGGTATATTATATAGTATTTTATTTATACCTATATTAAGTATAAATAAAACATTTTTAGCATACCTTAACAGAAATAGTTTGTTAATAGTTTCTGATGCCTGACTTTCTTCAAAAAGATGCAAGCCAAACTCATAACCAATGAGAAAAGCAGTTTTAATTGCAACTACAGTATGTACTATATTGCAAGAGATGTTTCTCAACTACAATTTAACCATCAAAATGTAGTTGACAAGCACTGAGTTGTAATTGATACTTCAATCCATAATTTGTGATAAAGGTTATGAGAGAAAATTATTTGAGCTAAACATGGAAAATGTAATGAATTTAGACACAAAATGCAGAGGAAAAATAAATTTCAAGATAAACATGTTTGAGATAGATAGGTTCAATTGTATTTGAATCACAGAATAGATTTATAGACTTTTAAATTTTAAATTAACTAATCATCAAACAGAATTTTATGGGTTATCTTATCGATCAAATTAAAAAAAAAAAAAAACTAATTTTACTATAGAAACTATATAAATTCTGAAAGAAAGACTCAGTGTTTTGGTGTTAAATAAATAAAATTTTTTTCAAAACTCAAAATATCATCTTCAGAAAAACAACAAATAAACCATAAATTGGAACATGTTCCAATTTCACACAACACAAAAAAACTGAGTTTTTTTTCTTTTTTGAGTTAAAAGTTGCATCATAAGTTTTGTCTATCCTATTTTATAAAAGTTATTTGAAACTAGTACACTTTTCAACACATTCTCTAATTGAGGGTGCATTGTGGGCATTAATTAATTGATATACTGTTTATCTGTTAGAGCAGATGGATTGAACAATGTAATTAATGCCCACAATGCACCCTCAATTAGAGAATGTGTTGAAAAGTGTACTAGTATTTATTATCCCTGTTAAATAATGCATAATGTTCCTTAATGTAAATATCTAATGATATAATCATTGAACCAATATGTAAAAGTAAAAAATTTTTTAATTTTAATTATATGATCTGAATCCTGGCTTTATCTAACCTATTAATCTTATCTTTATAAAATCTAAGCAATTGCATTACAACAAGAAAATATTTGACATATAGTATAGTTTTAAATTAGACTCTGTAATAATTGTAATCACTATATAATAGATACTCTGTAATAAATTTTACTTTTCTAGCTCTGTTATATATAACAGAGGAAAAGTATGGTGATTGGTCAAAAAATATCCCTCCCAAGATTAATATTAAGTCTATATTATTTTGCAAACAGATTGTATATTTTTTAAATAAAAAAGATATTTAAACATACACCATTGAAGATTTATACAAAAATAAAAAAACTTTTCTGCCAATGTTGATTGTTCCAGTGATTATAAAAGTATGTTTAAAAGATTGCAAAAATCTTTCTTTTAATTCTTGTCCAGTTTGTTAACTTGCAAGTTAACAAACTGGACAAGAATTATCAAGTTATGTTGTATAGACTCCAAATGTATCGTCACTTCAAATAATTGACTATGGCAACAATAGCTTAAAAATAACTCTGTACAAAATAGATATTATTAGACAAAAATCATTACTAATAGTATTTAGTTATAAATAATAAAACTAAAACAAAATTTTACAATTATTCTGGAAAAGTATTTTTTGTTAATCAGAATTTACAGAGAGCTGTAACAGGAGTAAAAATAGCATTTATTTCTTGATATAATCTTGGACTAAATGCATGCACTTCTCTAACATTTCACAAATGTCTGGATTCCATCAAAACAAAGATTTATCATTATGTCAAAGCTGTAATAGAACTGCTTCCTGTATCTTCTCATGCATGGCTAAAATGTAAGCTTTCTTTCTAGCTATAGCTTTAAAGAGTTAATCATAGGGACCAAAATCAAAACTGTAAGAAGGATGTGGCAGTATCTGTTAGCTAGGTTCCTATAACTTGGAAGCAGTGATGTA